CCCCCCTTCACATCCCACTAGCACCCTCCCTGCCTCCCTCCCTCCGACCGTCCCCGCTTTTCACTCCAGTGTAGCGAGAAAGAGTGAGCGAGAAGGTCTGAATTGAATGAAATAAGAAATCCCAGAAGCATTCGAGCAATTACACAAGCTGCTCAAACTCTTCTTTTTCCCCCCCGCCCGTCTTCCACTCGTCTCCCGCTTCCCTTAAGGCTGCAGCTAGCCCAACAAACCCCACCACCCCCTCTTCAAGTCGCACACCACCACCCTAACCCCTCAGCATATGTCGCAATTCATGCAACGGGCATTCACTTCACACCTGTGACATCTGAAAATGGACAACGTGGTCGGGAGAACAAAAAGGGATCCCTGCCCACGGAAATTAGAGCCTCTCTTACCTCCGTGGAAATGTTGAAATCAATCAAATTTTTTTACACTCCCGCATTGACTCGAACCACAAGTATCATGAAAATTACCTCCTGCCCTGCCTTAGATCCTGACATCTGGATTTTTGGCCTGTTTCACTGCCACTTCCTCTCTCTCTCCTTCCCCCTCGTTTCGTGAAAAGGGGTAAGGGGTGCTACAGATTGCACATCGAAATGTCTTTTCTTGCTTTGGTGGTCGGCGACAGTCAGAAACGTGGCCCAATGACCCCTCCAGGATTCACGTGGAACAGTGACGACTCGTTAAGGCTTTCACCCATGAGTTGGATGACTTGAACGTAGAAGCGTACGTCCATATAAGCAGTACAACCAGACGCTGCTCTGCGTCTGACTGAATTTATTCGTCAAACTCAGGTGAGAATCGAGGACGACGTTGAGATTCCTCGCTCGACTTTTCAATGTCAAACCATTGAAGTGACTTTCAGACTCAAAAAAAAAAAAAAAAAAACTTTCCGCATGCTTCATCTCCACCTCTTCATCTGTGGTGTTTGACGGTACTTTTTAGCTCGGCGGCGGATTTATCAGCCGTCATGATGTCGTGACGGAAGCCAAACACCACCTCTAATCAGGTAGTCCCCCCCCCCCCATCTGCCACCCCCCTTCCAGCCACTGCCGCCCTTTATCTCCCCTCAATTAACATCTACCTCGGCACCCTCTATTATCTTAACCGCGCAGAGCACGGGGTCCTCGGAGGGGCGGCAGATCTGCGGACCGCCTGCGCGCACCCCCCTGCAATCCGCCACCCTAATTAAAGGCTGCCCACGCCTGACGTGAAATGTTGCGGCGAGGGAAGGCTGCCGCCAACGTGCGGGGCGGGCGCCCTGAAGGATCGTCTTTGTTCGGGATTATCTGGCGGAAAGCAGCCGCCCCGGCGTCACCTGGATGCCGTCTCAATCTCGCTCGCTCGCCAGTTTATCTGCCAACGCGTCCGCTATGACGGCGTCCTCACGGAGGAGGGGCGGGCGAAACAACCTCGGCACGGCGATAAAATATCTGCGCTTCGATGCTTATTTATAGATCATTCCTGCGTTTAATGCCTCCTGTGCCGGGTTTCATCTGTTTGCTTGCCCCCGCCGGCTTCGCGCTCGCCCCGAGAAGCCATCAAAGCGGCCATTAAGTCATCCGCACGCCCTCTTTGTCCTTGCTTCCTGTTTGACAACAACAGCATCCCGACACATTGCTACCAAGCTCCTTGACATGTTCTCCTCGGTAATCATTTCCATGTCGCAAAGCTTTTAAATTTGGCTGCTAGTTGCCGCTACTTATTGGACACTACGGTTATGCTACGTTCAGGGTGAATGTGAAATATCGTTCGCGGGGTTGACTGCAGCGGGGTTGCTCAGAGCGGACAAGAGAAGGGGCTGTCCAACAGTTGTAAACAATCCAGTACACTCATGAGGCACTCCAAGTTTTTGGATTTTTTTTTTTGGACGGGGGGGGTCAACTCTGTTTGGCAGATATGGGCTAATTGTAAGAAGAGTCGATGGGTTAGGAAAGAAGGGGCCAACCTCGTAGCCAACTTGTTAAAATCTTACGGAAAAGCACATCATGCACCGCAAAAACTAAAATCTTCCCAAGATGAAATATCTCAAATGGAGGCAAAATATGCTTGTTCTTTGTCTGCCATGAAAAATTATTGAAAAGGAGAACTTTATGAAAAGCATGGTTGTCCTTCAAACTCTTAATACGGTTTTGAGATTTTATGAGGAGTTACGAGTAGCTTACAATGCTAAATTCCATCCATCCATTTTCCGATCCGCTTATCCTCACAACGGTCGCGGAGGGTGCTGGAGCCTATCCCAGCCGTCTTCGGGCAGTAGGTGGGGGACACCCTGAACCGGTTGCCAGCCAATCGCAGGGCACACACAGACAAACAACCATCCACGCTCACACTCACACCTAGGGACAATTTAGAATGTTCAATCAGCCTGCCATGCATGTTTTTGGAATGCGGGAGGAAATCGGAGTACCCGGAGAAAACCCACGCAGGCCCAGGGAGAACATGCAAACTCCACACAGGGAGGCCGGAGCTGGAATCGAACCTCGGCACTGTGAGGTTGACGCGCTAAACGCTAAATTCAAACTGAATAAAAATATATATAGGGGCGGGTAGTATAAATACACCAGCTGCGGCAAGCTATCTTTACTTGTTTTGAGAAATCATGCCGACTGGTTTAATTGGCAGATAATTTCCCTTCGTTAGGTATTACATTATTCATTCGATTAGATCTGTTTCTCGCTTCTTTTTAAAGCCCAGGTTCTAGTGTGAAGATGATTAGCGCAGAGACTCGGATATTTGTATTGATTATGTGTTCGCTAATTGATTGCAATGTAAACGCGAGCACTTGGTGCGCATGGTGAAGCAGTCGTGTTCGAGCTGTGCACCCCTCCAGTCACCCCCAGCCCCCCCCTTCCCCCCCACCAGCAGCAAACAGGAGATCCGTCAAGGGAGGAGCGCAATTAAGTACCTAATTTGATTAGGAGATAACGTGAGTGGCACTTAATGGGGAAGGACAAGGACTTCACAACGCTAGCAGATTAGTGTGCCGGACGCATGATTATTAATTAAGACATTCTCCGCTGCGCTCACATAAAGTCACGCACGCTTTAGCCGGTAAAAATGCTAATATTCACGTGCAGTGAATATTTGGAGCGTTCATCCTGAGAAAAGGAGTTGTGGGTGTGAAGTCCGAAAATTAGGTCAATTGCTTGAGAAAATTCGGTCCCCAAAACCAGTTTCACGTGAAATTTGGTCTGCATGTCCACCTTGAGTATGCCTACAAAAAAAAAATAAAGTCCGAAAATTAGGTCAATAGGACCAGTGGAATTGCTTGAGAAAATTCGGTCCCCAAAAACCAGTTTCGCGTGAAATTTGGTCGGCATGTCCACCTTGAGTATGCCTACAAAAAAAAAATAGTCTCAAGAAGACTTGACAAAAAAAAGTCACGGGAAGTCTGCCATGTTGATTTGAAATGGCAACGTTTGACATTTGGCCATTCTGACGGGTTTTCAAAGGGAACTGTTGTTATTTACTTCTTCCTTCTCCTTTGAACATAAAACTGTGATGATGTCTGTCATTATTTTCTTTTCTTTTTATAATTTTTACTTGCCTTCACTTTTGTCAATATGTTATTGTATTGTATGTTCTGTATGTTCAAAACAATAAACAAACTGTGCCCAAGAGATTTTGACAATTTCTACCAAATTTGAAGCACACAAATGATATATGGGTGACATTAAAATGAAACAAAAAAAGTACAATTTTATTTGGTTGCTTGTGGATGAAGGAAGTTTGATGCTTCACCAGACCAGAAGAGAATTTGTGTTTTTTTTTTTCAGCCCGCAAAGCCAGTCATCAGTCGAAGACTCTCAAAAGAATCCCAAGAAGCTATGCCGGAAAACATACAGCGAGTCTGCCATTTTGGTTTTCAGCACACAAATTTGAGTAGAAGCTCGTGTTTGTTTTGTTTTTTTCTATATACACTTTTTTGAGAACTTCAGCCCCCTAAACTCAGGTTACCCTCACAACTTGAAATTTGGTTGGTATGTCAGATCATAACATGACAAGACCCCCCAAAAAAATACCTGAAACGACAAGAATCTGCCGTCTTGGTTTGCGACAACCAT